CTGCATCATTGTCTCTGCCTCCATCTCTGGTGTCACCGCTTCTCTGGATAGGGTCCCGTACTTTGCTCTTCTCCCTTGATGGTCCCAGGGTCCTCTGCTCTTGGACTGCAAGATCAACCGCTCCCCTCTTTTTGTTATAAAACATCTACCTTTACATTTCCAACCCTCACAATGAGTCCTGATAGCAATTATTCATTATTGTACCACAAGAGTCTTATTCCCATCTCCCTTCACCAACCCCATCCAGACAGGTTGGAAACCACTCAATGGAGATTCTACCTTCCCCTGCACCCTCTGGAACTACGCTCCCTCTTGAAAGCTTGTAAGCCAGTCACTTCATTCCTTTGCAGCCCCCGCCCCCCCACATACACACACCATTTTGGTTAAGTTGCCCATCTCTGTCAACCCTGTGTACCGAGGGGGTGGGAATGATCCTTGCTGTAAAGATTAGTTTCCTCTTTTGTGCTACTACATCCATAAGTATAGGTAAAGTTCACCAAATTGTAATAGATTACTCTTTTTTTTCTCTTCTTTCTTCCTCTAGTCAAGTTGTGATCATCCAGCCATTGAAGCCAGGTCAAATGGGTAGTATCTGCAAGTATGGGTGTTCTTGTGCATCTCCCCTCATTTCATATCAGCTGGATGCTTCATTCTCCACTCTAGTCCACTGTGGCCATGTCCCTGTCCCTGGAACCAGGAGTCTCCAGGTCTTGCCATACTGCTGGCCAACCAAGTCTCAACCCAGGTTGACAGGAGTCTATTGAACATGGCCGGACTTAGCTCACAACTTCATTGCTATATTTCCATCACTTCCCTTTATCAGTAGACCAACATGGCCACCAGCAAGACTACATACCTGCTTGCATATTCCCCTTAAGTCTTTCTTTGCTTTGTAAATGCAAAAATAGATTTCTTGACTGCTGCTTCCATGTGTGTTGATTGTGATCCTTTGCATTAGTGCTTCTGAAATTATCTGTGAAGAAGGTACAGTTTTGATTTGATTGCTAGTTTTTCATAATTCACTACTCTGCCAAAATAATTCATAGGGAAATGTTAAAAATGAAAATATTCAAATAAAAGTTCAGTTTTAAAAATTAGATTCAACAGAAATAAAGTAAGTTTTCCGCTTATTACAAATGTCTCTAAACATTTAAATTCCTGTACTTTCCTGGAACAATAACAAACAGTACTTGGACCTGCCCACTTTGATTCATAACTTCCCTCCTGCTTCCTGCCAGGCTTTAGTGGCGGGCAGCAGCGTCTTTTTTGTATCCCAATCTAGCGAGAGTACAGTGAGCACTGGGCTTCCTTACTTGACTCTAAAGATCTGGAGAGAAGCACAGGAATTTGGAAAGGACTCTTCACAGGACCATGATCTGTCTTGTACAACTATTTTCAAGTTGCAGGATCTCATTTTTGAATGCCAGAAATAGAACATTACTTTTCTTTTTGCATTTTTACTGTAATAAATTCTCATATCCCCCAGGCAGATTGGTGAAAGTAATGAGCTATGAAAATAATGAGCTCAGAAAAGCATTTACAATTTTCAAATTCTTGTCCCTTTTATGCTAACTTGTAACACTGAAAAAGAATGAAGAAAATACCCAGTTTTGATAGTAAATCCTGATTTGTACCATTTGATATTATGGCATCCTGTGAGGGGCTAATTATTGTTTTATTCTCAAATAACTCCAATATTCACATGCAGATTTTTGCTCTTTTTGTAACAAAGAATATAAATGTTAAAAAATATGATTATTTAGTTGATTATACTTAAAAAGAAAATTATTATCTGCATGAATAGTTACTGGTGGTAAGGGATAAGGTAGTAGATGCTTTTTCTTTCTTTTTCTATAGGAACTGCAGTTAACAGAACAACAAGAGGAGGAAGATCTGCTACTGAAAACTGAGGACCTTGATGAATTTGATATAAAAAGGAGCAAAGGATCATTTGAAACTTTAGACCAGCTCCAGGTTTGTTCATTCTATTTAATACAGACTTCAAACACTAGATTTTTTTCACTTGAGTGCAAAATTTTCTAGAGTTTCTTTTTGAAACTTTTCTGTCAGTTAAAAAATTATTTTCTTATCTAGAAATGTGTTATATTCTTATTTTGGGGAGAGTTAGGTTTATTTGAATGCTGTTGTAGAATGTGAACATGTTTGCTAGGTTGTATTTTTCCCCATATAAAAGCTACTTTATTGCCATGGAAACAAGTAGATATCTAGAAATCATACCTTCCCATTAAAACATAACTAAATTGCATATGTACCATATATAATATGTTAAGAATCTATTATTTTAGTGTCACATTTAAAAAATCAAATTTCTAATCCATAAATAAGCTCAAAGAAACAAAAAATTTTAATTTATGTATATTCAGAATGGCAATTATAAAAACATATTGAAAGAAAAATACTGTAATTAAAATTTTAACTATAATGAAAATAAAAATATATTTATCCTAAGACTGAAAAATTTTTGCTCTCTTTCTAAACTTTATATATTATATTTTAGTAGTGAAGTTTAGGACATGGATGTATTCCTGGTGTACACTGATAATGAACACTCATGCTGACATTCCAAGCATCATGAGAATAACATTTCTGGGATGGAATTGGTATGTCAAGGGCATGCACAGAATTATGAGGCCCACTTGCAAATTGTTAAGGATCCTAATCTTTAATGAATGCAGTGATTAAAAAAAAATTGCTTACAGCTTGCATTGCTGTATTGTTATGTGCCGTTGAGCTGGTTCTGACTCATAGCGACCCTGTATAGGTTTCTGAGGCATGGCTGGTGGGTTTGAACCGCCAACGTTATTAGTAGTCAAATGTTTGTCCTATAGCACCACACCAGAACTTCTGCACTGGCTTTATTAGGATTTTTTTTTTTTTAATCTTCATTGTTTTTAATGTTGCAAAACGAAAACCTGCTTTCTAGAATTTGACTATGAACAAGGATGAGACAAGTATCCAGAGATCTTCTAATGGAACATAGATTTGATATTGAAGCTACTTTGTAGAAGAAAGTATTTACAATTGGAACTGTGTGGTAAAATCTTTTTTTTTATTTTTTTCAAGTAAAAAGAAAAAAATCAGACAGTTTCCTGAAAGTTGCTAAGATATACTGAATTACACAAATGATAACTTTGATTGGATACAGAAAAATCTATTTATTATTTTCTCCTAAAACTTGTATTAGGTTAGCAGACACTTATGCATAGCTAAAATACTACTTCCCTTGTGAGGTGGGCACTGACTGAGAACTCCCCTTTTGCAGGCAGAGCTAATTTGTCCCTTTATTTTTTGCTTACATAGCACCTTGGAGTTAGTTGTATACAGCATTTATCACCAGTTGTCATTTTGCGTTCTGTCTCTGTCTCTCCAATTAGAATAGAACTTAAAAAGGATGTTTTATTTTTCAAACTCCGCTGAGCACAGTTCCCATATGAATACATTTAAATTAATTGCTAGCCTTCCTAGGGTCTCCTATATGAGTTCCTAAAGGATAGGTAAATGTAAGAAAGTATTTCTGTAGTTGTTTTGGGATATCCTTCCTGTACCTAAAAATTATGTTGTTAAGTGCCATCGAGGCAGTTCCTACTCCTAGTGACCCAATACAGGGTTTCCAAGGAGCTGCCGGTGAGCTTGAACCAACCCTGAGGTTCAAATCGTCCTTGCAGTCCAGCGCATTAACCTGCAGCACCATGCCAGGACATACTATCTAGGTCTGGGTGGAAGATTGCATTGTTATGGATCTTTTTGACGTTGGCCATTCCCCTACCCCCCACCCCATTCCCTCCCACTGCATATTCACTGTCCCACTGTCTTAACATAAGTAGCTCTGGTAGCGTAGTGGTTATGAGTTGGGCTGCCAACCTCAAAGTTAGCAGTTTGAAACTACCAGCAGCTCCGTGGGAGAAAGATGAGGCATTCTGCTCCTGTAAAGATTTACAGCCTCTGAAACCCTGTGCCGGGTCACTATGAGTCAGAACTGACTCCATGGTACTTAACAACAACTGTTTTAATATAGCTCTCTGAGAACTCTTTGTCAGATTTGTGAGAATCTGGAAAATAATTACATTTTGTTTTCCTGTTTTGGTGGCACTGTTCATTTAAGTGTGTTATCAGTGCATATCTATCTGTTCAGTAATGTTCATATTGGACAGTATATTTTATTCCTATTTATTTTTTACTGTTTTCTGGATTTCCTTAATTCAAGCGAATAATACAATGTTTGTTTAGGAGATCTTTCCAGCTCTACTTATTTTATAATTACTTAATGTTCTCAAGCAGGAGTATAGATTGTATTTCCATGCATCATCATCTAGGTCTTTGTGTATATTCATTTATTCATGTCATTGATTGATGGAGGCAGACATTCAGTCACTCATTCATTTAACGTTTTATGGCATGGGAACGAACCATGGACTAGACAGTATTCGATAGAGGAGAAACACAGCCCCTTCGTTCCATCAGGAGTTAAAGTGCAGGAGACGGACTAGTTAGAGCAACCAACAATCTAAGCGCTATGATGGATATGTGTCCCCACAACACAGAAAAAGATCTCCAACATGCCATGTGCGCTGGGGACCAACTCCCAATACATGTAAAGAAAACTGTTAGCCCTTTTTTTTCGATGAGGTTAAAAAACCTTGGGCCCTTCAATGTATTTGAGAAGTACAGTTTTAGTTCCTTCTAAAACATGACCATGACATGTTAACTGGAACCACTTATTTCTTGAGGGTTTCAGATAGGAACACTGATTTCTTGCTGATAGTTTAGAAATTATATTAGGCAATCTGAAATTTGCATTATCACATACATTTTATGGCAGAAGAAAAAAACACATGATTATATTTCTTTGGAATTTTCATGTAGAAATTGGATGATAAAAAGAAATGGTTAGATGAAGAAGTCGAGAAAGTTCTGAACCAGCGCCAAGAATTACAGGAGTTGGAAGAAGACTTAAAGAAACGGGAGGCCATAGTTTCGAAGAAGGAGGCCCTGTTACAGGAGAAGAGCCACTTGGAAAATAAGAAGTTGAGATCTAGTCAGGTACGCTATTTAATACTACTCGATGATAATAAGTCATATAAGCTTTGGGATTTTATTTTCTCTTTAAGAAGTAAATCAAACCATTGTAAAGTTAGAAACCAAAAGCAGACTCTTGTGGTTTTCAGTGTATTTAAAAATGATCCTGTTTTTCATCACTAAAATTTACTGTAATTTTGAAGCAAAATAGTCAGAGTTCTTTCAGGTGTGATTTTATTTAATAACATTTTTTTACCCCCCAGCAAATTGAAAAACCAAGCTAAATTTAATTTCAAAAAGGATGGCAATAACACTACTGGAAAATCAATGTGATGATTTTTTATTTTTTAATTGTGGTAAAAAGATGCATAACAAAATATTTGCTGATTCAATAGTTTATTTATTAACTTTAAAGGATTTTTTTAATGAATTGTACCAGTTGATGCTTTATAGTGAGCATTAATAATTTGAAAAAGTAGACTTGAAAACTAATTAGTCATCACTGTTATTCAAGGAGCTCTGGTAGTGTAGTGGTTATGAATTGTGCTGCTAACCTGAAGGTTGGCAGTTCGAAACAACCAGCTGTTTGCAGGAGAAAGATGAGGCTTTCTGCTTCCATAAAGATTTACAGCCTCGGAAACCCTGTGCAGGGTCGCTATGAGTCGGATCCGACTCCACAGTACTTAACAACAATAACATTATTTAAAGGAGTCCTGGTATGGCGCTGTGGGTTAATGTGCTGGACTGTAAAGTCAGTTTGAACTGCAAGGTTGGCAGTTCAATCTCACTAGCTACTCCTCTGAAACCCTATACAGCATTACTATGAGTTGGAACCGACTCGAGGGCACTTAACAACAACAACAATGTTATTCAAAATTAGGGACTTGCAGGGATCCTAGAAAAGATAGATTTTGTGTGATGAAAATGGGTTTCTTTTTCAAGTTATAGAGACTTTTATAAAAGTGTTTACCAGAGAGATTTTAGGAACAAAACAAAAAGCATATAAAGGAGTTGACCCTGCTTTCAAATATTAAAACAGAAATGATTCTGGAGGGAATAGAGTACTAAAGGCTACTTTTTTGGTTATGTCTATAAATATTTTTTAAACAGAAGATATTCAGCTGCAACAATAGCATCTAAAAAAGAAGTTGACTTGCCTGAGACTTGACTGAAATCCTCGTGTGGCGCTGTAGGATCAGCACTGCACTGTTAATCACAAGGTTGGGGATTCAAACCTACTAGTGGCATCTTGGAAACCCTATACAAGGTCGCTATAAGTTGGAACTGAATCAACGGCACTCCACAACAGCCACCACAGACTCAATTAGCTATTATCTCCATCAGGCCAAGGATCAGTCTGTGCATTCAGTCATGTAGCAAAGAGCTCATCAGTGACTTGCTCCTCTCTCACACTTAGCTTTTAGCAGTGTCTATACCATGAGTTGTCAGATTCATTTCAGCTCACTAATGTCTAAGATATCGATGTTGATGTGTTCCATTTCATTTTTGACAACTTCCAACATTCCCAGATTCATGCTTCATACATTCCATGTTCCAATTTTCAGTGGATGTTTACAGCTGTTTCTCTTCATTTTGAGTTGTACCCCATCAGCAAATGAAGGTTCCTGCGGGCTCTTCTCCCATGGGCTTTACTCCATTTTGAATCTGAAAAATCACATGGTTTACTATGCCAGGAATGACAAATTGAAGAGGAATGGTGTTGCATTCATTG